CTCAACCACTCCGACAGTACCATTTACGGTCTCTGGTTTGCAGATTTTCCCCTCACGAAAAAAAAAAGACATTGATCTATTTTCCTCTTTTGTAGATTGTTTAATATAACTTGCTAGGAGGCGTTGTTAAATGCATTTTAAACGTCAACTGTAGCAAAATCGGCCTGATGAGGGGAATAAAGTCCTGAAACTTGTCATCAGATAGTTTCCGCCGGCCTCTTAAACTTGATGCAGAAATTCGCATACTTGTTAAGGCCTTTTAAAGTCCTCCTACTCTGGTTACCATCCTACCAAGGGATAGGAGGTAATAAAAAGCAAACGATCTAACTAGAAAAAGATCGAATAGTCCAATAACTGGGCCAGAACTTTTCTGATTTTCAAGTGGAAACCATCTCAAAGCAGAACTCAATAATCTGGAACACTCCATCCGTAACCTGGAATGGAAATTCCAACCCTCTTATTCCAGTCCCTCCAACGCAACGGTCTAAAACACTCAAGAAATTTCTTAGGACTTATCACCGAGAATAATCACAGATTTTCCTTGATTTAAGTTAATCTTCGGATTGTCACAGGGTTTTTAACAGGGGACGGTCTCACTGAACATATCAGTAGATTGGAGCTAAGAAACAACGGCGAATGCAGATTTTGTAAGGAAAATGGGGATATCCAGAATACCTCATCAATGAGTGCGCCGCACAGAGGTCATTTCAATTTTTTTAGGAATTAATAAATCGAAAAAATAAAGTATCAATAAACCTACGATTGATGTTGTATTTTATTGTTGATAAACCAGAGACATGCTTAAACAATAATATTTTTTTATCTCAACATAAAGTTGCTTAGGCGCAACGAAAAAGTTGATTTTGTCTTAGGTTGTTTACTTTATTGGTTTTGTGACGCTTATTTTTGAATTGTTAAAGTTGTGATTTCCATAATTAAGGTTGATTTTCATGCATCCGCTATCCGACGACACGATGATACGATATTAATTTTATTGGTTGAATTTAAAGACTTTGGTTGGTTAGTAACGGTTAACCAATCAAAGCCTTTAAATTCAACCAATAAAATTAATATCGGATCATCGTATCGTCGGACAACGGATGCATGAAAATCAAGATTTAGGCAGCGATTTTGAGACTAAGTTATTGTTTTTAAGTATTTTGGAGTAAGTTCATAATATACAGGGTGGTCCGAACTGTATTCCGAAACTCCGGCAGCATATCCTTCTGATAAAAATAAGTAAAAAGTTCATATAAATGTATCTCCTAAAATCCTTAGTTTCGGAGATACAGGGTGCAAAGTTTCATTTTATTTCGATTTTTCCAAATAATTTCTGAAGTTACGTCAATATTTGGATGAAAATTGGTGTCTGCAGTTTTTTGACATGAGAAATTTGGTCTTGATGTCAATATGACTCCTATTTGTGGGGACGCCACCTACGTGTGGTTTAACTCTTTTGAAGGTTAATAAT